ATACATAATTATTATAGACATAAATGTGATATTTTTTCCCTTGTGAAAGGTACAAACACATTACATCACACTTGATTTAAAGATGACTTTTTGCCTTCGCGGGGATTTTAAATTAATCTACTGTGAAAATAATTTCTTATGTTAATTTAGTCATGACGGATACACACGTTTAACGTTATTTTATGATAATTTTGTATTTCCTTTTGAATATAATGTATTTTTACGATTTAACAAAATGCGTGAAGAAATGTTTATTGCATTTACGCGTGTATATTTATAACAACACAACGCAAAACAAAATTTAAATATTCAATTCAATTTCAATTCAATTTTATTTTATTTACAATAACACTCTTAGCGCGGAGGAAGGTAGTCTAGTACTGGTGTAACTCTCCAGGAACGATGGTTAGGAAACTACCCGCCTATATGACTGAAATACTGTTGGGAAAAGGCGTAAAATCAAACAAACAAACAAACAAACAATAACACTCAGTTTGTATAATATACAAAAACAAGATCTTTTTTCTATTGACCATTTAGTACAGGTATCCATTCAATACGTGTTATTAAAATGACCATGAGATTTGGCTGAAACGAGATGATTTAATTTAATATGCATTTAATCATTTTGTTTCTTATCAAAAACGGAAATCCATAAAGTTTAGAATATGATATTCACTGTACATAATATATGGTTGAAGCACATAGAAGAAAAAAGAAGTATTTTGATTTACTAAAGAAAGAAATATGTTTATGAATTCGAATAAAATCACAATTGTTTATCATTTTGGAATGAATTATGTTTAAAAACAAATGTTTTCACTTTTATTTCTTTCCCTCTTACTTTAACCTATAAACAAATGAATATTATCTTAACACGTGTTGTTCATTCATTGTTTGTTTTCCTGCATACTTTCATGTTTCGTCAGTTATACATTTTGATATTTGTATGTATTGAATACAAGAAATCAAGAAATGTATTAAGTTTGCCACCCTCGTTGTGATTCAAGAACGAATGCCCAAACGTTCATGTGCTTTATGCATATTAAGTTTAAGTTGTTAAATTCTAGAAACTGTACATTTTTAACTATGACTTTACGTACACTTATTTTCGATGCTAATTATTTAATTGTTTTGTTTATCAACTTAACTACAACTACTACAACTACAAATATTTTATTGCATTAAAACAAAATGTTCCATAGTAATACCATTTTCAATACAAAGAAATGGTTAACAGAAGCGCACTTGATTGCAGTAACACATTGTGCACTAATATTTTCAGTCAGTAACTTTCTACGTAATAAAACATTTTCTCCCAATCTAGAGATGCTACATATAGTTTCTTCTTAATCGACAAAGTATTTGTTATGATAGCATGTAGAACAAAAGTACAGTCAATAGTTGACTTATTCCTAAAAAAAAACAATATTGATTATCAATAAATTTTTCTCATGTTTATCAGCTCATTTTATAAGTCTATCAACCAATAATTTTGAGTATATTTTGTACAAAATATTATTTAGGGTAATTCGCGAAAGTTTTTTGCTTCATGAGCCCCACCTTTAAAAATTGGTACTGTAATACCTTCTCCCCAGCATTCAGGAAATACGCCATCATGAAATATTTTATTATAAAAGCGTGTGAGAAATGGACAAATTATATCAATTGAGATTTTAAATACTTCTGCAATCAGGTGGTCAGTACCTGGGCATTTGGAGAAAATATTGCATTTTTTATCTCCATCGATGTAAATTCAACATCCAAATCATTATCATATATGTAATCATTATGTACATCATTATTTTCATGATCATATACAATGGTGTAGAACCGTACAAACTATTAAAATGTATATACATATCATCACTACGTATGTTACTATTTTCTATAGTAGGTTGCCTGTATTGTGTTCTCACGTTTATCCAAAAAGACTTTGGGTTACATTTTGCTAATTTTGACACTCGTTTTCCCTCTGTCTTTTTTAATAAAGGTTTACATCTAAGTTTTATATTCTTATAAACCTTTCTTTTATTTAAATAAATGCTTTTATTCTCGTTCGTTCTATTTCTCTAAAATACATTTCTTGCTCTATTTAATGCTTTTCTGGCCTCATATCATTCTTTATCAAACCATTTTTTCTTAGTTTTTCAATTTGTTTCTCGATTAGTATTTTTGCATTTGCCAAATACTTCAAATGCATTATCTTGCATGTATGTCGTAAATTTTATTGTTTCATTTACAGAAACATTATTCAAATTGTTGCTAATGTACGAGTTCGTAATATTTGATTTGTTATTAGTCATATTTGAAATAAGGTTCTTGTATGGAATCGATGAAAATGTCCTACGCAAATTGTAAGTTGATATGCAGATATAATTTGTAACTGCTAATTACCATTGTTTCGGTATGCTTATTTTCTTAAATAAATTTATATTGATAAATAAAAGAACTATTTAAAGATGCATCGAACTTAGTTGTGTGATTACTCTTAGTTAAAAAGAGTTCTATGGCATTGTTAAAGAAGGCTATCAAAAATTACCTAAAACTAAACTTCATGTAAAATTATATAGTGCAAATATATTGTATATTGAGTGGTGTTTTTAGCTCACCTGTCACAAAGTGACAGGGTGAGCTTTTGTGATCACTTTTCGTCCGTCGTCCGTCCGTCCGTCGTCCGTCCGTCCGTAAACTTTTACTTTAAATGACATCTCCTCATAAACCACTAAGCCAGTTTCATCCAAACTTCACAGGAATGTTCCTTTGGTGGTCACTTTTAAAGATCCTGTAACACATTATTTTTATGGTTTTATATACAAATTATGATGCTCAAATTAAGATTTATCGATACTGTATGTTTCAAAAAACATTATTTATAAAGATATAACCGAATTTAATATTTCATGTAAATAAAGGGAGGTAATTAGAATTTAGTTTTCTATAAATTCATAGTCAATTTTTCCAATAAGAAATGAATGCATATAATTTAATGATTACCTTAAATATGTACAAATATGTGCAATACATATTTTACATATTCTTCCATGTTTGAAAATTGACAAATTTGCATAATTACATACATATATAATTCAATGAAGAGTGGTATGCAATCTCAATTACAAAACATACAGGATCTTTAAAAATTGTTCAGAGAATTTAATTCCATGCAGAACCCTGGTTGCCATGGCAACCGAAAGAAAAAACTTTAAATATCTTCTTTTAAAAAAAAACCCAAAGAGCTAGAACTTAAATATTTGGCATGAAACATTTTCTAGTGAGTGTCTACCAAGTTTGTTCAAATAAAAGCCCTGGGGTCAAAATTGGCCCCGCCCTAGGGGGTCATTGATTTTCCCTATATGCATATAGTAAAAACTTAAAAAATCTTCTTTTAAGGAACCCATAGAACTAGAGCTAAGATATTTAGCATGAATCATCTTCTAATAAGTGTCTACCAAGTTTGTTCAAATTAAAGCTCTAGGGTCAAAATTGGCCCCGCAACAGGGGATCATTGATTTTCCCTTTATGCATATAGTAAAAACTTAAAAAATCTTCTTTTAAGGAACCCATAGAGCTAGAGCTAAGATATTTAGCATGAAACATCTTCTTATAACTGTCTACCAAGTTTGTTCAAATTAAAGCCCCAGGGGTCAAAATTGGCCCCGCCCCAGGGGGTCATTGATTTTCCGTTATGCATATAGTAAAAACTTAAAAATCTTCTTTTAAAGAACCCATAGAGTTAGAGCTAAGATATTCAGCATGAAACATCTTCTAATAAGTGTCTACCAAGTTTGTTCAAATAAAAGCCCTTGGGTCAAAATTGGCCCCGCCCCAGGGGGTCATTGATTTTCCCGATATGCATATAGTAAAAACTTAAAAAAAATCTTCTTTGAAAAGGCCCCAATAGCTAGAGTTTAGATATTAAGCATGAAACAGCTTCTAGTGAGTGTCTACCAAGTTTGTTCAAATAAAAGCCCTGGGGTCAAAATTGGCCCCGCCCCGGGGGTTATTGATTTTCCTTATATATGTATGGCAAAAACTTTAAAATCTTCTTTGAAAAAAAACCCAAATAGCTAGAGTTTAGATATTAAGCATGAAACATCTTCTAGTAAATGTCTACAAAGTTTGTTCAAATAAAAGCCCTGGAGTTAAAAATGGCTACGCCCCAGAGGTGTCATTGTTTTTAACTATATGTGTATAGTAAAAACTTAAAGAATCTTCTTTTAAAAATCCCAATGAGCTAGAGGTTAGAGTTTAAGCAGGAAACATTTTTTTGTTGGTGTCTACCAAGTTTGTTCAAATAAAAGCCCTTGGGTTAAAATTGGCCCTGCCAAAGGGGTGGGGGCGCAGGTCATTGTTTTTCATTATATGTGTGTAGTAAAAACTTAACATCTTGAAACATCTTCTAATGGGTGTCTTCCAAGTTTGTTCAAATAAAAGCCCTGGGGTTTAAACTGGCTCCGTTCCGGGGGCCTTTATACAGGTGAGCGACCTCAGGGCCATCATGGCCCTCTTGTTATAGTATATGATGTTGTTATGTTTTACTTTGCTGTATGTACTTTCTTATAATTATCTTATATTTTGTGTGGAAATGTATTGTTACTTTATTTTCTACTATATATTGTTTTATTGTAATAACAAGCAAGGAGATTATTGCTTTGTCTAACTCTATTGCCTTCTAGAATAATTTATACAAATGAGAAAATCAAAATGGTTATATTGGCTTAAATGTTCTTACTAATTGTCTATTTCACGTTAGATTGTATAGAAGAATATTATTGATGATGTTTATGTTAATAATTTGAGTTTAGAAATTATAATATGTATTGCTATAAAGAATATACTAGTACGTAACGTAAATAGTGTGTTTACTTAAATAACTGGTAACGCAATTCAATGTTTAGATATGTAAGACTTATCGCCTTAACGGCACATTTTGTAATTGCATAATCGGGCGCGAAATAACGTGAATAGTATTTCCATTCATTTTTGGGCATTGAAATAAAATGATATATAAAGAGAGAGGATATTTGAAATCACAGACTCTCTTAATATTTGATACAAAGTTTAATCAAGACAGATGGATACCGTAAAAATACTTGTTATCTTCTTTGCAGGAGTGGGTAAGATCTTCATTTATTTATTTTTCTACAGCATTTGTTAAGACGAAACGAAAAGTATTCATTTTAGTTCATTGTAACGCAGAATTGTTTTTGATTTTTGAAAAAAAAAACAAAAAAAAACCAAGAAACAAAACAAAAAACAAAATAGGTTACCAGTTATGTTTATTTTTTTTTTTATTTGTTCAAGCTATGCAATGTAGAATTTCTGTTTTGTATGAGATATTTAGACAAAATTAATAAATAAATAAATAAATAAAGATAAAATGTGTCATAGGAAAAAAGATACCGTAAAAAAGTCTCAAAAATTGAAAAAGTTTCAGACTCGGTTTGATTAAGCCTATTTATCACCAGTATTGTTTAGTATCTGCAGGCTGCAGTTCACGCCACCCAGTACAGGCTTTAGCAGAGTGCAACATCAAAATAGTTTAATTTCAAAATTAAAAACAATCACAGTTGTTTAAATAAGTGAAAAGATACGGTAATCTAAATGGAACTATATCTTTTAGAATTATATTATTTCATTTCATTGATACCGAAATGTCTTACAGCCAGATGGTATAAATGTCAACATACTTATTTGAATGATATTGACTACTATACGGAGGCAGAATATCAACATAGTTCATTTATTTTTTATATATATATTTTGTAAATTTTTATAATCCAATTTCAGGAATGGTTGCATCAGACAAGAAAATGGACTTAAAGTCAGTCCTTCTTCAAATATTAAAGTAAGAGTTATTTGGATATTGAATTCTCTTAAGTTTATGTTTTAAATTCATGAACCTTTAAATAAAAATATGAATAAGCAGAAGCTCAACTATTTATATATCATTTGATTGTTTGAAAAATTATATATTTTTTATTCATTTTCTTTTCAGTAATGCAATCGCTCATTTATTCTTTAGTCAATCAATTGATCTTATAGTTCATTTATTTATTGGATTGTATATTGTGTGATATAATAATATACCTTTGTTGTTGTTTTTCTATATAAAGATAGTGCTACCAATTAATTAATTAATTATTTTAACAACATCTTCATTTGACGTTGCAAAGTAATAAACATCATGTAAAATAATTTTGAGCACATTTGCTAGTTAATTTGTATCTTATTTGTTGAAAAAAAGAAGATTTGTTTGCCTTCTTCTGAGTTGCCTCATGCGTGATTTTGTCATTGTCATTGTCATTTTCAGTAACGTGAAAACAAGTGGATATTCTAGCACACTTTCCGAATCCAACCTCGCTAACTCAGACAATTTGAAAAAGTCTGAAACTGTTGACAAAACATCAGGTCTTATTGCAGATGATTCTTTCAGCTCTAATGAACTGAATGACGACCAAAAGGGTATCATTAATGATGCGACTAAAGATATTTTCGATGAAATACACAGATTGAAAGCAAAGTACGGATATTTACTGACAAGTAGTAATGACAAGAATGGTGCTTTAATCAATCTGAAATATTCTGAAAATGCTGATGATGATTATCTGGATGCTAATACAAACATAGACGACAAAGATAAAGAATATGCCGCGTTAGTCAAGAAAATGAATGACGCAGCAAAAACTCTTCTTCTTTTACGTGCAAAGCTTGCAACGGAATATAAAATCAAGGAAGAAGAATTGCAAATGAATGAAGATGAAGAAAAGGTGAAGACAAAGACACAAGAGAAATGGTCAAAAGTCGACCGTCTTATGACAATCCTGACTAGCATTGAATCATTTATGGAAAAAGACGGGGAAAACAAGCAAAATGAAGAGAGAGCGCTAGATCACGATGATGAAATGTTAAAACTGATTGCTTTTGAAACGCTTCAAAATAAGAATCAAATAGCAACAGAAAATGCAGGTTATGGTGGTGAGACGCAGACAAAAGATAAGCTAACTAGTAACGGATTGTTCAAAGAAAAACCATCTGAGAGGGACTGGCATAGCAAAAGTTGCGCCAGATTTAAAGCGCCGTGTCTTGGCTGGTTCCAAGATTGCTGTGAATATGGCCAAATACGCAAAATAGATTTCAAAATGTGTTGCAGCTTCAGCAATAATAACTTGAAAGGAAAGGATAACTTATCTGGTATTTGCATACCGAATCCTTACGGAAATGGAGAATGTGTGAAACAAAGGCCATCAGCTTAAATTGTGCTTACAAGTAACAATTGAATGGATATACATGTAAATACATTATAGTTACAAACGGATTTTGACTAATGCACATAGTCACATCAAGATTTTATTGAAAGCTTGTATATAACATATACTTCTTTCCTTGTCTTGATGTTCTGTATATAGCAGTGTGTTTATGCGGAGTATGGAAAATATTTAAGCACAATGGCAGTTCTGCATGTCATCCAATTTTTTCTGGGGGTCAAAATGGAAAGAAAATGAATATACACAAAATCACTTTTTATTCAATATATATTTTTGGATGTCTTTATTGCTATTATATATGTATATATAATATTATACTGAAGCCATCTTGATCATAAATAGTGAATATATCTGAATTGTTGTTACCAGAACCAGTTAGACTGCTTTATTTATTTATTCAAATATGTACCTAAAATGAACTGTCTATATTACATTTCCGTAAAATATAAAAATATCAGGGCGCTGCAAAGAATCATATTTTAAACCGGTAGAATTACTCGTGTTTTCCTATATATTTTTATTCATATAACGATTTCCAGTCTCCTTCTATATCGTCTGTAAGGTCTCCTGTACAACAAAAAGCAAACCAATGAAACATGGGGTCGGTTACGAGCAAGACACACTTGATATGCCATTATTTCTTTTTTCGTATATATACTATATGATTACGTCTGTCCGCTTAGCTCAATGGCGAAAACACAACTTTATAACAAGGGGTCACTGATTTGATACTCGGTCAAGGCGAAGTTTCTTCGCAACAAATGATCTTGGACATGACATTGAGTAGAACGGACATTTGTTTAATGGCCATTTAATTTGTCTGTTATCGCTGATTCAGAGATCATGTTGTATTTTTTGCTTTTGGTCACTTTTTGAGAAATTGGTACAAATTGGTTTTTTCTGGCTTACTCTTTCTTGTTTTTCGCTTATATATGACGTCGTTGTTTATTAACTTTGCTATATGTGAATATTGTCATTGTTATTTTCAAAATTGTTTAAATTTTGTTTTTAATTTGTTTATTTAGTACAATAAGTATACAGTTTCCTATGGGTTCTGGGGGTTACACCATCGTTTTTTGTTCTCGCATGTGCAGTTATTGCTTCCCGTGATATTTGAGGTCGTGTGTACTATCATTCGTCGATAAATGTTATTGTATAATATTGCCTTTGCTATTAAATGAATTTTATATTTTCTTCGTTAGTATATGTTATTGCGTGTTATCGCAATAACAATTGTATCCTAGTGCATTTCTTTATAAAACTTTGACGTATGAGTTACTTTTGTAACTGCTATTTTCGAAAGTTCAAGAAATCACAACCCCTCACCTACACGCCCTCATATTGAATTAGCTACCTTATAGTAGTAATACTATATAATTTGTATGCATGAACTTTAATATATTTTAGTTTACAATGAAACGTATATCCGTTTCAATGGACATTCAATTTGACTTGATTTGACTGTAAATATAACAATTCATGTTTTGTCCTTGAACTGTTGAAAGTTTTGTAAATAAAATCTTGAACATCTGTTTTTATTATTATTATTTTCCAATGAAAGCCTCGAGAATGTTTTCTTGTAATACAATACAATACAAAATCTTTATTTCACTCAAGACAAGTCCACCTTGATTTGTTACAGACAAATCAAAGACTTGTAACTAAAAGTCTACTATTGAACATTTCTGTATTGTAATTTGTAAATCCAATGTTGTATGTCTTATTCCTTTTTATTGTTACATGAAATATGTAAATCTCGTTTAAAATAATTGCGATACAAAATCAAATAAAAAAACAAGAAAAACAACAACAAAGAAATGCCTCCTTCCCCCGCAAATTGTTTGAAAAAAATGTACTATACACAAACGTTTACTAACATGTATTCCCCAAAATGTGAAATGATTGCCGAAAACAATTTAACAGTAGAAAAGAAACATTTTAGAAAACAATAATTACCACTGTTTAACTTAGAAACGTCGCACACCACTTTGTTAGGGTATAAGGTCAAGTCAACCCTATACCTGTTCAACACGGTCCAACTTGGTCTATTCCTATAGTAATGATAAAGCCGTCAACATAACTGATTCTAACTGAAGTTTGTATCTTTGTAAAAGAATAAGTATTTATACATGTACAGTGAGTACCTCCAATTCAATAACAATTTATAAAAGGTGGAAAGTTTGAAAACATTTAGTTCTTGAAAGATATTGCTACCCGACGACAGCATGGAACTGCTAAGGCCCCATCCCCCTTCTGTGGGTCTAGAGCTCTAGACCAAAGCCCCGATAAGGGACCAAATGAAAACGAGGTCCAGCGAAAGCTTAAAAACCACTAGGTCTTAGAAAGCATCTGAAAAATACAAATATAAATATTTTTCCAAAAACATTGTTTTAATGAAAAATTGCCATTTACTCATACTATGAAGTTATATATGTGTACATCTTTTGTGCTAAACCCGTTTCGTACTATCCCACATAGCAGATTTGTTTTTCATAACTTTCATATTTAGGAAGGTAATTCAGATATTTTTACCATATGTATATTTACATGTCAGTGAACAAACAGTTTTTATACGTTTTAAGGATATCCAACTGACAATTTAAGAGGAGATGCATTCAAATGATTGGAAGTACAGACTGATTTGCCAAGGGACAAGCCGACTCCAGTATATCCCCTTCAAATTCTGTTTTTTTCGGGACAAACAGTTCAGATATATATGAAACCGCTCAACAAATACCAAATAGTAAAAGAAAAACATTGCACGCATAATCAAATTTGCGCCTACACGTTAAATGATGTACATGTAAAGCTATAGCTTCCTTCAAAAAAGTCGTATTTAGGAAGTTAGTTAGTCTGTTTTGTATTTAATTTACTCTTATTGGCGTCCGCATCATCCTGGAAATAGTGTGGCCAGCATCTGTTAAATCCGTTCTTCCTGTCCCATGGTGTCAAAGGTTTCAAACATACGAAACTTTCGCAACACATGGGGAAGTATCCCCCGCAAAGTTTGTATCCACTGGAACAATCTTCTTCCCATGGTAATGATCTATCTCGGCTATTGATACCAATAATTGTATCTGCTCTAACTGCACGAGCTCTGTTTCCGCCAGAGATGAGCCGTTTAAGGAGATAAAGAGCAACGGGTGATACGTTCTGTTCTTTCATGTTCTTTTCCTGGTTGCCGAATTCTCTAGATTCCGTTGGTCTGCTCTTTGTTTCGAGTTGATTGGTTTTCCTAATAGTGTTTTTTGTTTCATCCTTATTCTTTTGGTAAGCAAGTTCATGTGATCTGTGATCAGCGTTCTCGTGAATGGTCTTGGTTTCAACAGGCGTTTCTACATCCGCTAGCATACGAATGAGACCATGCAATACAGTTTGCCTATGAAAAAGAAAATTTGTTGAATACTTCAAGTTAAAGGCGCATTATGCCTAAGAAATGAATATAGTTTTCTTTCTTCAAGATTATGAACATTAATAGCGTGCCTTTAAAGACATACTTACATTTTATTATCAGTGCTTATTACATATGTCAATTCTATGCTATCAATGATGATTTAGTGAAACTTGTCAAAACTTTAGTAACATATTTTTCAAGTTTTTAGTATTATCAAGTCACAAAATGCCCTGGTTTTTATATTCTGCCAGGATGTTGTTTAAAGGTAAATGGATGCATTTATTGTTGCACATTTCTGTAAAAATATAGCTTTAGCTCCAGATCTTCCTTCGTTATTCTCCGGACAGCCTCATTATTTTTTCGGACTATTTTCTGTTATTCAATATAAAAAACTTGAAAGGAATTGTTACCTTTTCAAAAAAAAATCGCATCTTTTCTGTAAATTGTGCATTAACGAGACCGCTTTATATAAAATATAAAACAGAGAAAAACATAATCTCTAAAGAAAGCCAAAAACGGCAAAATTGAAAATGTTGCAGGCTCAGTTTGATTGAGCCTGTTCATGGACGGCACTGGAAAGTGCAAGTTACTGTCCACGACCCGCTAGCACCGGCTTAAGCAGAATTTAACATTTAAACACGAAAATGGTGAAATTTTGAATTTACAGACATTCGCAGATGTGTTCATAAGGCGGTAATCATGCAACCGTCAATGTGTCATTCCAAGAAAAACGGCGTATATGGTCCCTAAGGAAAGGATTGATTGTGCCCTAAACGAGAAAGCAATGGGCGTAACTAAATAAAATGAGTTTTACATAAGTAATTATTAGTCACAAACATCCTGATTTAAATATTAATGTTTCTTTCAAAAATAGCAATATCATGTTCTTTTATTTTTATTTTATCTAATTAGTTTACAATAAACACATTTAACAATTGTTTACATTTTTTTTTCATTCAAAATCTTTCTTTTAAATCAAATTACCTGTCTGGTTGGTAATATCCGCTGGTTTTACCAAAACCTGAAAAACATATTAAAGAAAAAATAAAATAAAATAAAAACGTACTTTTAGACAATTCAGACATTTCAACATAAAAGCAAAGTATTGTATTTAGTAAACGATAACTATTTGCATTTCATAAGTGTACTATAATTCATATCACAAAATCGTCACTATGTGCACGTATAATGTAATATGAATAAGATATGGGTAACATGTACGAGTAGAGATTTAAATAAGAGTAAAGCTGCAGCTGTTTTCTCGCGGACAATGTCTACTTATTTAAATTGAACATAGCGTTTATTAGATTTAATAACAAGTATTTTGAAATAGACAGAAAACCGCTTATGTTATAAATATTTTATAACAGGAATATTTCAAGCAGATAATAACTTTTATACAAGCAGTAATTTATAACATTAACCACTTTTAATTTATTTGAAAACGTCACAAGATTAAAATGGAAATAAAAATACGGTTAGATTTTTCCACAAACTATTGAAAGATTGATATATTATTTGATAAACAAGTTTTTATTGTCTTGAATCACAAGTAAACATGTTGATCACGGAAAACGCTCGCTAACCTTAGGGTATTAGCGCTATCGGTAGTTAATCTAAGCCATTTTATAGCCGTTTAATTGATTCAAGATGAATAACAAATTTTGTCAATATGTCAACCATATACAACAAAATAAGCAACAACTATTATCATAAATTTTGCATTTATAAGCGTGTTTGTTTGCTTAACTATTTAAAACGTATCCAATAGTTTGGGGCATATTAAAGTTTCTGATCAGAAAAAGATAGGAAAGGATAGGATAGGATAGCTGGGTGGCATGGCATGACTTAGCTTATCATAGGCCAGGACAGGCCAGTCCACTGGACGGGATAGAGAGTTCAATAAAACAGAATAAAAGAAATATATTTAGAATAACATAGATAACAAAACATAGATTATTAACAGACATAGTTACATAACTTATTTGTTAATGAAAATGTGTTCATATTTCAACAGACCTAATACATACGCCCTAATCGGTTATTTCACCTTTTACTCCTAGTATGAAGCGAGTCGGGACGTCACATATGTCTTAGATACACATATTAGCATATTTTGGGACAAAATCTGTACAGTAGGCTTTATCCAGTTGTTCTTTACGCATTTAACAGAAAGTATGTAATGAAAGTTTTATTGATATGAATGTATCGGTGAAATGCATCACTCCCATCCTTTCCGTTAAGTTAAATCGACACTCGCCTTTCTTTCAGGATTATTTGAAGACATTTCGTGCAGTGAACTCGAATGATGCAGCCATCACAAAACAACAACAACAACAAAATATTGTATTCATTTTGTCTTTTTCGTTTTGTTAATGAGTGTATCAGATAATTATCATACTATTCATTTGACCGGCTCTTTCCATTTAAATTATGATATTAAGTATTTTCAAAATATAATATATCTTTGACTTAAGAAGCCAGTTGTTAAATGTAACATAGAATTTACTTTAAGAATTATTTCTTAAAATATTTCAGTCCATCGGACTTAAGCTTACCCACCACATTATTGTCATAAAATTGTTTTGAAGGAAAATGAAATATGTAACATAGCTTTTTTAATTCATAAACCTAAATTGTTGTGGCTGTTGCCAGGGAAATTGAAGGAATGCTTCCAAAAAACATCAGGCCAAACGACCTCTCGTATAGGGAAATGTTAAGTGTGGACTAAATAAGATTCTCGTGTGTTTTGTTAATGTAATTAATACTTTTTGATAATACACATACTACAAAATATAGTTTAAACCACGGGTACTTGACGTCTAACATACATCCCATACCCTACCCTTGACATATAAAGACAAGTTTATTATAGATGTAAGACGGTATGAAGGGGATACTAGACGTTGGTCACCTGCGGTTATAACCGAATAAAGTTAACATGGTATAACTTTATAGACAATGCATAAAACACAACAAACATCATTAAAGCTGCACGCCACCAGATGAGCAAAATTATTTCGACAACACCAAACCTGAGAAAAATGTACTAAGAGTTTAGGAAAGGTATAAAGATTCAAAATTCTAGTCAAGATTTCATGTTATGTGCGATTAATGACTGGATTTTTCAGTATTTATAACTATATTTCTACTGCGGTACTTACGCAGTAAAGGTATTTTTGGATTTTTGACCTCTTTATAGTAATTTACATAGGTTGTAAGTGCCATTGATAATGTGTAAATTGCATTCTTTTGGTAACTTTACAAATTATAATGTACATTTTCAATTTTTCATGAAAATTGGCATGGATCTGGAGGCGTGCTGCTTTAAACGAATTAATAATGATGATGGTAATGCAATTTAGAGTGCTGATATGATAATAATAATAATTATTATAAACACAACTTACCTTCTACTGTAAAGAAGCAAAGTCCAGCGAAAATATATACCATCAAATTCATTGTAGTAACAGTTTATATTTTCTATATATTAAAAAAACAAAACGCGTCTTTGAGTTTGGCCAACAGTTCCTATTTTGTGAAGATGATAAAGCGTTTCTTGGGAAATCGATTTAAATCGTTATAAATCTATGAAATAACCATAAAATAACAATGCCGATGAAAATATTGTGGCGGTAAGGTTTGATAAACATATTTGTTATCTGAACAAAATTAGTAAGCTTCAATGAAAATAATATGAAATTAGTGTTATAACTGTCAATATGATTTCTGGCTTAACGGTCAAACTGGTCGTTTGATTTTTATCTTTAATGGGTAATGCCTGAATTTAACAAAACAAAACAATACGGAAACAAACGGAAATGACCGATGTTTGACGACTCTTTATTTATTAAAATGACTTGCCACGTTAATAACCGAAAACGTATTTTAGTAATTTTACTTATGCAGTTCATTTTAGAATATTCTTCGTTGCAGAACTTCTGAGCGATGCTTGCTTTTGATATTTTTCATTGTTTACTGATAAAGTTTGAATTATATATATATTATATCATGTTATGTTGTTCTTGTGTTTTGTTTCGGCAAGAACAACATACACGTACTCGAACAAGTATAAATATAATTTTATATGATACAGTATATACATCCGAGTTTTTGTCAAATTCATTTAATTTTTTTAATTGATTCACGTTCTATATCTAAATTTACCGACAAATGGTTATGTTGTTCTTGTATTTTGATTTGACAAGAACAGCATACACATACTCAAGCAAATATGAATATAAATATTTATATGATGCATTATATTATATACATGTATCTTATCAAATTAATTCAATACAATGTATGAAGTTCACTTCTCTGTAAGTTTTGCTAGACGGTGGTAATTTATTTAACATTAGCTTAAGTTGAATGTCCTTTTGTTCTGATGTTCATTTTAATTGATGATATACAATTTTGTGTATACTTTCTCCACTTACACATGTTATTATTGTATGTATATGCTTAACATTGTCTTGTCATGTATCATGTATCTGTTTATCCTCATAGACCATTTGGTCCAATGGAATATTAAAATAAAATTATCAAACTTATATATAAATTATGTCTAAAATAATTTGATAACTAAATGGAAGTCTAATCTAGCCTTGCCTTTTTTAAGAAAAATAATCAGTATGATTTTTAAGTCTGCCAGGATCGCAAATGGAAAATCTAAAATTCATTTAATTTATTGTCTGAGACATGGCCTGGTGAATAAGGTTTCTAGTTTCAATTGTTCAACTCAGGTATTTATAGTTCGAGCCTTGCTGGTGTCACGATGATATTTTCTAATGTGGCACAAGTGTTTGCTAGTTCAAGAAAGCTTATTTGATACACAGACGCTCAATGTCACGCCCCAGCGTATTTGTCGTAACCTTTTAACATATTAACACGAATGGGACATCTGTTTTAATCATAGATTTTTTTTATCAATTTCCACACGAATTACTTTGATGTTAAATGTTGTTTTGATTATTTTTTTGTTTTGTTGTTTTTACAACTTAAATTATCTGCTCTATTTACGTGCTTTATTCATGTGTATAAAATAACAGATGTATTATATGTTTGTCTTTGGAGAATCGACGAAAAAGTATAATTTTACTGCTAATAAAAACTGACATGCATTGCCTAAAAATAAATATTTAGTAACAATATCGTATGCATATCACATATTGTACATATAGGCCAAGTTTTGTCACTGCGCGGACTGTATTCATGGATATCTACACTAGATATTGACCGTAAAAGTCCGAAGTGCGAACCTCATTTTTGAAAAATGGATGTTTTAATCTTAACAATTAACGATAAAAACCCCATGCATATGACTGTTTGACATAGATAACCGGTTATCACGTTATCTGTTATACTTTAATGTTTGTCTACGGTTCAAGTGTTTCACGTTTTACTGTTGAGTGAAATTGTTTCATATATGTGTCATATCACATACCCGTGCCGCTTTTGCGACTCCGTAAAAAAATGGTATTGCACGACCGTGCATATATTTTGACGTGACGTCATTTGCGTTATACAAATATAGCGTTAAGACGCGCTAAATGTTAGCGTTATACTATAGGCGCGTCAATAAAAAATGATTGTTTTTCACTTCAAACGGTCTTTATTTTTGGTATGTGATAAAACAAATGTTAAATTCATGTAAGCTGGTTACTGAATTAATTGAACTCTTGGAATAAATTCAGTATTAAAATTACACTCATTCAATATCATCTATTGGTTTTATGTGGCTGTGACTATTGAATCAGTTTGAATAAGTTTATTTACTGTATGTATGTTTATACAGAGATTTATACGGTTGAACAAGAAACGGAACACGTAATCATGAAGAAATAATATAGAAAACATAAAAAGAAAAATACATACATGTTTAATAACGTTTTGTACATGTGTTAGACTGAAACTTATAATATTTTAGAAAAAATTTCGAACAGTTTCTTTCATAATTCAGCCATTCAGACGTTTTGGTCAACACTTCTGCTTTCTGTTCACAATTCTGTTTTTGGCTCACAATTCTGCTTCCTACTGACATGACTGAAATATTCTGCCAGATTTTCACATATTTTATCTAAATATTCAATTGGATAAGCGCCTTTCATCATATAGCTTTGTATCTTTGCGAACAAACTGTTCTTTTTCACAGTTTTCTGAAGTGAAATAATACCTAAATTATAGTTTCGCACGATTCTTTCAAGTAAAAAAATGAAGTTATCTTTTCTATTTTTTTTTCAACGATACTGTTATTTCCTTAATATAAAGAATTTTGATGTTGTACATGCATATATTGGGTCTAAGTTTGCGAGATATAAAACGAACTACATGTATTTTTATATTCTCTAACAATATCGTAGGTGATCTCAGGTAATATGATGGTTTATATGATAACTTAAAACGTTGAAATTACGGAAGTATGAAGCACATTTATCGGCGTTTGTGGTGTTGCTATGGGTTTTTGGTCAGACTTATATACCGAAAACTTGAAAATGTAATGCGACATTACAAAATATATACAAAATATACGTATGTACTGATACATTATTTTTTATTACATTTATATTCTTAACGTTATTTAAAGTTTAATAATTTTTGGGTATGTGTCGGACTATATGACGTCCATAATAATACTGCACGTTTGTAACGTCGTTCTTACAGAAAAATCGTGACATATATATGAATTATATACACGGCTGGTGTCAATATATGTAGATATTGCATTTTTTCTATTAAAGCTACATGCCTCCGGATGAGTCAACGTATTTAAAAAAAATATCAAACTTGTGAAGCATGTACTAAGAAAAGGAAAAGTAAAATGTTTCAAGATCAAGTAATATTTTAAATATAATGTGCGATTAAATGACTGATTTTTCAGTATTTACAACTATATTTCCACTGCGTTACTAACGGAGTAAAGGCTTTTCATGCATATTTTGACCATTTTTTCGTAATATACGTGTTTGTAAATGTCATTGATAAGGTGTAAATTGCTTCCTTTTGGTAACTTCACAATATTGCACATTCGTATACATTTTAAAAATTTTCATAAAAATAAGCATGAATCTGGAGGCATGCTGCTTTAAAAGAAAGTTTGCCGTATTATAAATTCGTTTTAAAGATTATTGACAGGTTATATGGCTGTATAAACATGTTGTTTGCAATATAAATCTTGTCAAAGTCGTATATGTTATATACTTTATATGCAACAAGTATATATATAGGGAACCATAATTATGACAGGTCATAAATCATTATAACTAAAACTTTTAACGTCTGTAAGCATATGTTATCTGAGCTTCTGAGAGGGAGTTAAATAGCTACACAACCAAACGTCTTTCTATTGAATAATACCTTCAGAAAATTAAAGGCTACTGTTATAGAACGTTTAAGATAATTGATACTGTATTGAATAACATATGGATATTATAGAATAGATATTTATATACATGGCACAACCTCTTCAGAACAACCACCTTCAAAGATTTTAATTATTGCCGAGAGGTGTTGCTCTAAAAAACTTAAACTTATTGTGAAGTCTTTGACTATTATTGTATAATATAACACAGAGGGTTGCTATGACGAGGTTGTACTGTATTTGATAACATTATTTACGAAATCGATAAAAACATACTCTACCAGCCATTTCATCAATTTTGCAGCGATTGAGTTCTTCACAATCCCTGCTTTAGAAAATCCCATATATTCAAGCACAAACATAGGTGCGTATTTTGCAAGTTTGCATGATTTTTTCACAATTGTCGCCATAAAAAAGAAGGATTCTGGAAAATAAGAAATACCATATTTATACACAATAGTAAAATTATTTTAATAATTGGTTCATATTTGTTAAAGTTAAGATATATTGCCTTTTTACAAAAGACATATTAGCTTCTACATGTGTATCTTTCCTGTCAAACGTTAAAACAAACATTGATGCAGGTTGAGGTTGATTTTAATCTCTTATAATATTTGCAGAAACTTCTTCGTATATTTCACAGGCCCTATATATCGTGTTTATCATCAAAATGTTCGAATTTTTAAACTCAGAGTTCATCAATAGTATTTGGCATTATGATGTTAATTTATTAAATTGTTATCGAAAAACTTGGTCCTTATTTTCTCTATGCAGTCTTAATTACGGTAGTACTTAATGGCATTTTGGTGTCTATTGTAAGTTATATTTGCACATGGACAATTTATATACATGAACATCGACTATGACCTTTGCAAATATGTATGTGTTATCATGTATACATATAATCACATCGCTCACATATATTTCTGATATGAATGTGTACAAATGGATCATATTATCAAACCTTCTTCACAAGTTGGTATATCATGACTCCAGTGACCATTTGCTAACTTTGTGATGACGTTGCATCCACTAATGGTGTATCCATGGTGACAATAAAGCTCACATGTGATCTTGTCACTATCACCAGCTAGACGCCGCCATTCTCCATGATGTGCCCGACCTTGATCTAAATATATAATTGTTCAAATGTCCATATAATTTTAAAAATATTTCATCATCCATCCATCTATCTGTCAGTCTGTGCTTACGACAGGTTTTGTGTATAAGTTCATATCATAGAAACAAATCGTCAAAACCATTCAAATCTATACATATGTAATTTTAATATGTTTCCACACAAAATTTCATACATTTAATGATAGATTTACCCATAGCGACCATTTGCATTTATGCATTATATAGGTAACGGCGGAGGTCTCGACGCCATTTCGACGTCAACGTGATTTCCTGAAATTATTTCTCGACATGAAGGCTATATCATTCATCTCGTCTTTGATAATAAGTTAGGACACCGAGCGTATCGGATTTGCTCGCATCCCAAGAATGTCAGTTAATATTATGTGTGTTGATTTTTAGCTGCTCCCTTATCTGTCCGATACGTTACACGCTTTGGCCCGTCTGTCTCTTTCTAGTGAATCTTTTACTTTTTTTACCCCCGTATTTATGACAATTGCACGAAATTTTCATTTTTAAGACATCTGGTTTAAAGTCACTCAACGTTGTATAGTTTCAGTAGTCTACGGGCCATCAAGGCGAGAGGGACCACAAGCCATCAAGGCGAGAGGGACAACGAGCCATCAAGGCGAGAGGGAAGCGAGAGGGACCACGGGCCATCAAGGCGAGAGGGACCACAAGCCATCAAGGCGAAAGGGCGGCGAAAGGGACCACGTGCATTCAAGGCGTTAGTTAATACTTCTTAATGAAATCAATGACCCAATCTTTACTTTATAACTCATGATTTACTTTCTGTTCAATGCGTAAAAAAGTATTTAAAGGTACAATATGTCTCAGAAACACAGAAAGTTTACTTAAGGGCAAATAATGGTTATAGAGATTGTTACCTGTGAAAAGTAGCAATGAATGTGAAATTATTTTCATAAAAGTAACAAATGTAAACACAGTAGTATTTTGACTTCTATAAAATATTATAGCTACAAAAATGAAAAATGGTTCAGGTTATTGACCAATGAGTAATTTTTGGGACACTATAAAAGTACAACAAAATTAAAAAGCTTTTGGTAATGAAAATAAAAGTATTATTTAGGCATAATGAGCCTTTAAACAAAAGCGAAGGAACTTTTTTATCTACGTTGTTTTGACAGACGTACGAATATTTAAAGTCAAGACATATTCATGATGTAATACCTGTATGTGTGAAATACGGATAATTCTGGAACGTCCGGCCACATGGACATGCTTAATTGATAAAGCGTTGGATTGTGAATCGGGCGACTTGGGTTCGATTCCCGAACGATGCACTTCACTTCCAATGTGATTGATCATGACATCTACGGTCATTCGCACTATATGTCTGCTCTGACATGTTCGGAGGTAACTAGCAGTTCCTTGCAAGTGAAGGCATCTAGTATAAGCAGCTTACCCAGACATGAATGATGTGGTGTGATCTGCTGAATCTAGTGAATTCAATGTGGTTCGCTGCCGTGATCTGGAGCGTAAACTACAACACCCACCCACCATACGGATACTTATTTAATAAATGAATAATTTCATACCTGGACAGACGTCACTTTTTCCCGTTTCACCTTCTACAGCAGTTATTAATTGAACTGTTATTATGAGACAAATATATTTTATGGTCTTAGCTGTGATATCCATTTTTAAACCTCTTACAACGGTGTTCTGTTAAGGTCTTCGCGATACACGCAAAACTCGAAAACACAAAATTACATACGATAGTAAAAAGTCGAAGGTACGATGATGAAAAGTCAAAAGTATATTAGTGAAAAATTGAAATAGGGAAACCACGATGGTGAAAACTCCATATAAATTCGTGTTTTCACAATCATACTTTAAATAGACCTTTTATCACCATCGTTTATTTTCGTTATTTCGCATTTTCACCAATGCACTAACCTTAGGACAATCACGTCACACACATAACTCGAAAGTACGATGATGAAAATTATATTGAGTTTTCACCATCGTCTTTTCGTTAGTTTTACCTTTTACCATCGTACTACCGACTTTTCAAAATCTTTATCATCGTCGTTTCGTTTTTTCGACTTTTCAACATCGTAATTTCGTGTTTTCTTGTTTCGAGTTACAAACGTACCAAAGCCATTCACATTGATATTTCTTTATTAAATCATTCCGGATTTTTTTTCGTCATCCATGTTATTACTTTTGTCACAGGGTGAGAAAAATGTGCCTAACCGGGACTCGAACCCGGAACCCTCGGAATACCGTTCCGCGGCTCTACCGACTGAGCTATCCGGCCGCTTACACATCTTCTCCCCTAAATAGTGAACAGTTCTGAACCGTGACACTTGTATCTCTGTGTGCATGCCAGATAGGAAGGTGAAAGTATGATTGTGAAAGTACGAAGGTAAAAAGTCGAAACAACGACGATGTAAAGTCTGAGTAACGAAGCAAATAGGTATAAATTCGAAAGTACGATACTACGATAGGGAAAATTCGAAATTACGAAACCACGATGGTGAAAGTCGAAAGTACGATGGTGTAAACTCGAATGTTAATCGGGCTTTTACCATTGTGGTTGCGTTATTTTGGCTTTTCATGATCGTACTTCCGACTTTCGTTATCGTGTTTTCGACCTTTTACCATAGTGGTTTTGTTAATACGACTTTTCGACATCGTAAAAATTTCATATTTTCGTTGTTTCGATTTATGTGTGTCGCAATGGCCCTAACGGGACACCATATCTTGCAGTATTGATTTATCAAAATGTTTTTGAAAAACCAGTTTAATCTAAAATAAATCGAAACTAGATATTTGTTTATATTGACGAGGCTATATTTTTAGGGAGGGTATTGGAACACATAATTTTAAAAATAATAATACAAGTTACTTTTCATTTTATAAATAATCGGTTACAAACATTTTTCATTGACCGGATCAAATTATGGCATTTAAAAGTATTTTCATGGCTCTATTTTCACTTCAAATTCTCACTGTGGCCATAGGAACAGTTCGAGGAGATGAAGAATCAAATTATTGTCCTGGTGAGTACTTATTGTTTCTTCATAACGGGGACTTTGTCTTAGGCTAGAATTTCTTGTGACTTTGATTTGTTCAATGTGTTTTTCAAATGATTCTTATATTTAAATGAACCATTTGCGGTTGTATTAAAAGTCTCACCGAAGATTTAAAATTCATAATGGTGGCTTTCCAGCAATATTGTTGGAGGAATACTAGTAACTAATATGCCCGCCCCTTCTAGCATTCTTTAGGTAAAAGCTGTAACCTGTATAGAACCACAGAAATATAATAGTTGGCATAGAAGCTTATCTATTCTCTAATTTGATAACTGTTTACAATAAACTGTTACTTATTGCCCGGCCGTTTATCTGTCTATGTGACCACTTATGGTCCGGTTCTTCATCTTGTTATTCATGGATATTATGAAATAATTTTGCTTAACCCTTTACCGTATGAGCATATTGTGAAAAATGGCCGTTGGAACTATGAGAAATGCTTCAGTACTGATGAAACTTGGCACACATGTTGACTGGACATAGCCTCTGTAACACCATGCTCAGTCTTGAAATTCCTGTTACCATGGCAACGGGGGACGTCTCAAAATTGCCAAAAATTACTATTTTGTATTGTTTTTTTTTCATCAAAGCTGATTTCAAAGTAATGCAACTTCTCAATGGATTGAGATAGATTAAAAGGCTTTTCAGCGTTGGTTACACGTTACCTGACGATCGACCGACCTGAGGTCACATGTCCAACATTTTATTGGCAATGGGGGGGGGGGGGGGGGGTTGAAGCACATTGGGTGCTATGTGTTGATTGCATGAACCAGGTTTGTAGGGCAAAAGTAACGCTTGGACTTGAAAAGTTTTTTTCTATAAAAGTGCCTTCATGGTAGTATCCGGTTAATTATATATATATTCTTGGTTGAATAACTTATCTTAAATTAATTAACAAAGTATTTTGCTCAAAGTTAAAGGGTACACTTGGACGTTCAAAGTCATTTTTTTGTTTTCATAAAAAATGCATGAATTGTCATATGTGCTTCATACATGGAAAAATTTTGAAATAACTATTTGTCACATACCCGTACTGCTTATGCGACCCCGTAAAACGGTATTGCAAGGTGGTGCATAAATTTTGACTTGTCCTTTTACCGAGAACAGCTATTTCTTTTATATGTGATAATAAGAATATTAAATTCTTGTAGCTTCATTACTTAATTTATTGAACTCGTTGAATAAAATTGTATCATGCTCGCCAGAGGCATTTTAATATTCTTTTATTCAACTCGTTCAATAAATTCAGTATTGAACCTAGACTCGTTCAATATCCTTTATATTTGAATGACTTCGTGACACATTGAGAAGACTTGGTACTGATAAACGCCAGGATGACAGGTAGAAGGGAGAAAGTAATACTTATACTTCTTCCAAGACTACATAAATCTTTGCGACTGGTCATATGTTTCACTTTTGTTTGTAGTAATCAGAACTTTGTTATTTTTGGGGTTGAACCTCGGGATATTTTGTCTGTTTCCAGCGACATTTCGTGTTACCATAACTAGAGTAACGTTCGCTCATAGTTTACTTTAGTCCAATCGCTATTTGACAATTTTGTACTTTAAATGTAATATCCATTAAAAAAAGAATATAAGTATGTCCAATATAAGTTATGACACATTGTTGAATTGTTCAAAAGAAACATATGAGTTTTAACAAACGAATTATGCCCAATATCATTCAAGACCAGGGACAAGCTGAGAACGGTAGATGGCGCTTGAATAAAAGATGGTTTCAAAAGATGTATTCTTGACTGCAACGAAGGGTACAGTCCAAGTGGATGTCATGTTATCAGCAAAGATAGCCATGGAGATTGGAATCATAATATCTCATCATGTGTTGGAGGTTAGTTCAGAATGTTTAATAATTACATCATCGAAAGTCATCTTATTTAATATTTACCTGCTTTCGATACAAGCTATTTTAATTAGTTTTTATTATCATAGATTTACGACTAAGTATACGTATAAAGTTTACCGATGATTATGCTAGCCGTTAGGTAATTCAAATAAATCTTAACTCGTTCTACCTATGCGATTTGGTTATTGATAATCATAACTCATTTTACGATTTGATTATTGAAAATTATATGCACATCTTTATGTCTTACAGCCGAATGGTTCAATAAGGAAATAGTGGCATGTTACACAGCGGTCGCTGCAGCTGTAGCCGCATCACCTTACCTTCTAGGCACTGCAGGATTTACCACTGTTGGAATAGCAGCTGGTTCACTTGCAGCCAAATGGATGGCATTTGTTGTATGCATGTCTGAACGTTTATTCGTAAATTAGTATGCACTGAAACCATTAAAGTTTTTTTTCATAATTGTTATTATATGAATAACACATAGGTTTGTGAGTAACAGTAAAAATATCATTCCGAGTAAAAAAATTGTTATCCGAGGCGTTAGCTGAGGGTAACAGTATCTTAACGAGGGATGATAATTTTACTGTTGCACACAAACCTATGTGTTAGTTATATTATTACTCCAAATAATAACTGTCATGATCTGGAATTGTCAACTAAGTCCAGCTGTAGCACAATTAAACCAAGAGTAACAATAACTTAACTGTCCTAATCTTGCAAGTTTTAAGTGTACTTTACTGTAGGCCTACTTGAGAAGTTATTTTTCTTTATTCTTTAAGCAAGTGATGATATCTACCAGTCATAAACATAAAATAAGCTGTGTTATATTTAGAAAACAAAACAAAACCCCTTTTATAAGGTTATGATCTGTGAAATCTGATCATCCTGTATCCAGAACTGTCCAGAATATTCTTCGCATGGTTTATAAACAAATAATGGTAGCGAAATTTCAGACTCTAATGCTGTTAATTGCAAGTGCCGAAAGTAGCCCACTTTTTTGAAGCGGTTACTTCCCTTTATATGTAAACTAACGCCGAGAAATTCAGGGGAGATCACTGCGTAAAGATGGTCAAATGACAGGCGCATTAATTTTCAAGCAAAATAATTCCCGAATGGTCGAAGATTTCTAATATTGTTTTATTCTTTATAGATATACATGCTCTGTGTTAAACAACAGTTAGCGTCGTTACAAACCCTAATATAGAATTAAATAGTTTTCTTCAGGCTGTTAACAAATAACTTCACCGTGGCCGAGGGGTTTGCGCGTTCGCTTGGGAAGCGAGAGGTCTGGAGTTCAAATGCCAGTTTAGGCAACTCATTTTTTTCTAATTGTTTAAGTCAAATAAACATTGGATTGAATATCAGTGTTTAAATTAGTCTTATAGCCAATTTACTACAATTAAAACGCTGGAAAGGATTGGTGGCACTTTACAAAAACAAATTGGTATATAATCTCACAACCTTCACCTTTCTGACATTCTGAGACCCAAACAAATTCAGCGCCTTCTGTGCTTTGATTGACAAAGTGCATTTAAAAATAACGATGATATCCTATGTCTGTCCACCATATCCCTAATGTTTCACTGATTAAAATTGTTAAATAATCCTTTGTTTTTGCATGGTTTAATCGTCTGCATGTTCCAGTTTGACACATAATTATTCACATTGCAATCACTTCCGATGAAAACGGATGTTTACTATTTGACTATACGCGGAAAGCACTCCAGGGTGCAAACGACTAAATGTTATGGGTGTAATAATTACTCTGGTGATGCCCTACAGTATCGTGGTGAACTTCGAAAATATAAATGAATCGAGAAAAAAAATGGCGGCCATTTTATTTTATTTAGAAAATATACCACGTGCCCAGATTTTATACTGTTAAAAAGTACTGTTACCTATGTAACATAACAAAATTCTTAGTCACGTGGTACACATGCATTAACAGTAAGAATAACTCCCAGAGGCCTATGGGAAATTAATATTACGAAAATGGTGAGGGGTAATAAAATGAAATGGCGCATACTATCTTTGTGTATTTATAAGCAGTTATATAACAAAAGCCTCTTTACTAAAAGCAAATCAGCTGGGGCAAAAGTAAATTTCTCAATATTATCCAAAAGTTCATCAATGCCTTATGGGCTGACACAATTGCTCGGAAGTTGACCGTATTATGATACAATAAAATACTTTGAAGCAGCATCTCAATACGCCATTGTCAAATATTCCATGCATAGTGTTTTCGTTCGCACCCTTTAATTTAATCATCGATCGTTGTGTAGATCTCATAAAACGGAAATTACGTCGTTTTGGGGGGTAACGACGACTAAATATTAGCAGGAATTATACCGTATAGCGTAATGCGTAAAACAGCCGACATTAGGGAAAATCATTTTTGGGCCACATCTGCTGCAATGAGGCAGCTATGGAGGACATAATTTTAATTAACCAGTGCAGATAGCATTTTAGAAATATGTATTTAAATCGAAAATTAATTGCTCTTTTTCAATTTATGCTCGCTTTAAAATTTTTCTTAAAGTTTGTCCGCGAACTTTTTGAGCATATTTCGCACACAAAAACAGGAATATTTCACAAAGATTTACTACGAAATGGGATTTGAATTGTCAGTCATAAATTCTTATTATAGTGTTCACCACAATAATAAGACTGCTACCGATGTTAATTTATCAAAACTAATAGCTCCTAACAGAGAATTAAGTAAATAAATAAAATTTGTAAAGAATGAAATTTACAAAAGGAAGGCATTTCTGAGTTTTGTTGAATAATTGTGATTTTTTTTTCATTGAATTGTTTGTTTGGGTATTTTTTTATCGGTTTAAAACTTACACCATGTTCCATGTAATCCAGTGGTAAATATTTTTCCATGTAGCTCTTTTCTTTGAAATATAATCTAAATATAAAATCTTAGCAGGTAATATATCTACATATATTTCCAAAACCAAAATAACATATAATATATCAATGGAATCAGCAACTATCTAAACGGTATGTCTTTCTATTTTTGTATTGAAAAATATAATGAAAAATAGCAAAAACCATTCGCAGTGACACACAAGGTTATCGTATACAAGTGTCACGTGATCACCCTTCCTACTGGTTTTTGAAGATATCGTTCCAAACAGTACAATAATGAAGTCAATAGAATGCATGACAAATGTACTATATGCTCCTGAATTATATAATTGCAATTTGTAAAAATGTTGCTTTTTCAGGGCATTATTTCTAAGGGTAGTTTATTTGCGTGGCTTCAAAGTCTTGGTATGGCTGGTATGAGTAAAGCGGCGATTATAAAGGCCTTAGGTTCTGGTGCAGCTGTTTGTAATGGTGTCATAGACGTATTCTCAGACAATACTTGTGAAACAGAATGAAACTTTACCGGTATATTGTAATTTGGCGAAGGCCATGTGATTTGTTGATAAAATCTTTAGATTTTGTTGCTTAAAAAAACGAAAAGAAAGAAACAAACAAACTGTCATACACTTTTTTTTAAATTTATTTTGTAATGTTCAACAGTATATTTATCGAAGCGGCAATTTAAACACGTATCTCGAAGATAACAATGTACATGATAATCTTATCTTTTTAGTGGTGATTCGATAACAGTGTTGTAAATATTTTCCTATAACAACGATAGTTTAATGTTTGATATAAGTGTAGATTTTAATGGATTTTAATGATCAGATTAAAGTTTTGTCTCATCTTTGTTTCTTGTCTTTGTTACAGTGTGTAAACTTGTATGAAATGAAAGGTCAATATCTACGTGTAGCTGTAATAAATCAGCAAACTGGCCATGTTCTTATAAAATCAAAACAAACATGAGTGTAAACTGGTTTATCTTTCAGTTTTTCTTGGCAAATCGGCATATATATTTAACATACCTTTGGCCAAAATAACAAATACAATTGACGAATATGGCCAAGATATAAAACATCATACATAGTTATCAAGATAAACAAATAAACTAATAAGCAAACATGTACATTTACAAGTTTGAAGAAGCAGCTTCCGTTTAAAAAAATATCCTCCTTAACTGGAAAGCTTCATATATATATTTCGGAGTTTTATAGAGCTTACATTTACTCCTACATGATATAATATTAACACATTTCTGTACATTAGGACAAGAACAATTACCCAAATATTCAGTTCTCAGATCAACACGGTAATGAAACATCACAGAACGGAGCCAATAGAAAGTCTTGTCGCGCAGAGTACCCGTGAGGCCATCAGACATGACCCGAGCAAACAACTGGTGAGGGCAACAAATATGACCAAGGTAAACAACTGGTGAGGGCAACAAACATGACTAAGGTAAACAACTGGTGAAGGCAACAAACATGACCAGGGCAAACAACTGGTGAGGGCAACAAATATGACCAGGGCAAACAACTGGTGAGGGAAACAAATATGACCAAGGTAAGCAACTGGTGAGGGCAACAAACATGACCAGGGCAAACAACTGGTGAAGGCAACAAACATGACCAGGGCAAACAACTGGTGAGGGCAACAAATATGACCAGGGCAAACAACTGGTGAGGGCAACAAACATGACCAGGGCAAACAACTGGTGAAGGCAACAAACATGACCAGGCAAACAACTGGTGAGGGCAACAAATATGACCAAGGTAAACAACTGGTGAGGGCATCAAACATGACCAGGGCAAACAACTGGTAAGGGCAACAAATATGACCAAGGTAAACAACTGGTGAGGGCAACAAACATGACAGGGCAAACAACTGGTGAAGGCAACAAACATGACCAGGCAAACAACTGGTGAGGGCAACAACTATGACCAGGGCAAACAACTGGTGGGGCAACAAACATGACCAGGGCAAACAACCGGTGTGAGCAACAAATATGACCAGGGCAAACAAGTGGTAAGGGCAACAAACATGACCAGGGCAAACAACTGGTGAGGGCAACAAAATTAATATGACCAGGGAAACAACCGGTGAGGGCAACAAATATGACCAGGGCAAACAACTGGTGAGGGCAACAAACATGACCAGGGCAAACTTCAGTGAGGGCAACAGACATGAGGGCAACCAACATGACCAGGGCAAACAACTGGTGAGGGAAACAAACATTACCAGGCAAACAACTGGTGAGGGCAACAAACATGACCAAGGTCAACAACTGGTGAGGGCAAAAAACATGACCAGGGCAAACAACTGGTGAGGGCAACAAACATGACCAGGGCAAACAACTGGTGAGGGCAACAAGCATGACCAGGGCAAACAACTGGTGAAAACTTCAAACGTGACCAGGGTAAACTTCGGTGAGGGCAACAAACATGAGGGCAACAAACATGGCCAGGGCAAACAACTGGTGAGGGCAACAAACATGACCAGGGCAAACAACTGGTGAGGGCAACAAACATGACCAAGGTTAACAACTGGTGAGGGCAAAAAACATGACCAGGGCAAACAACTGGTGAGGGCAACAAACATGACCAGGGCAAACAACTGGTGAGGGCAACAAACATGACCAGGGCAAACAACTGGTGAGGGCAACAAACAGGACCAGGGCAAACAACTGGCGAGGGCAACAAACATATGACCAGAGCTCACAACTGGTGAGGGCAACAAAGAAGAGGCATGCCAATTGATTATTTACAAACTATTTCGATAAAAAGAAAATGTTAATAATAGTAAGACTGATGTAAACAACAGCTAGATTTAAAACTGAATAAGATATCATTAGGTATATAAATCATTAATGAAATAATTTCGAATGTTGAAGAGGTGAGTCATAAGACCCTAGGACATGATAGATAACGTACCTGTCTGATCTGACAACCTGTAATACATGTCAAACACTCATTTAAGGGTTAGTAGGTCGACATAATTTTTTAAAATTGAATCAGTTATATTTTAGAAAATAAGATTTGACACTAAACACTATCTCGCCGATTATTCATATTCCGGTGACTGACAGAAATGGCCGGTAAGTTGTGGTAAATATCTGCTAGACAGTATATAAATAACACATAGATTTGTGAGTAACAATAAAAATAACATCCAGAAGAAAATGCTGATACTCAAGGCGGATGACTTTTTGCTTTAACTCACAAACCTATCAGTAATTTATTTTATTACCCTGGATGTGTGTTTATTTTTAAGATTTTATTCATATATATGGTACACTTAAATTAACTCCCAATGACCTTTGCATGTATGCTAATAATAATTCATACTATGAGGGCATTAAACATTATTGAGTACAATACTGAATTCTATTGGACGGGTACACAGCTGTCAAACTACAAATGTATACCGGACGAGGTGCTGCCCGAGTCCGATATAGGTTCTGCAGCTGTGTACGAGTCTAATGGAATCAGTATTGTTCTAAAGTTAAACCATATTTAATGACTACTTATAATTTCGAACCACCGTAGTTTTATCCGCTGGTTGAACTTTGTTTCTTCTTGTGATATGGACTTTGGGTTGTCAAAAGAAATGTTAAAGAGGCTCGATAGCGTGCAATATAGATTTGATTTGAAACTTTTGGACTTTTGAAACGAGTCAATATAAGGTTTGATATGGATTTGATATGAACCTTTTGGTTCCTAAAAATGAAAACAAGGCTTAATTGATGATATTGTATCTAATAATGATTTCAATTGGAATATCACGTGGTGCAGATGCTGAAAGTGCATTGGTTGTGAAAGAAAATAATTTATTCAATGCTTTTACGTGTATAACTAACAAATAAATAATCAAAGAACTAAAAGTGTTGTCAGCGGCAAACACCGAAAATTTTATGCAAATACAGAATCGCTAAATAATTAGACAGTTTTCTTACAACTCGTCCTGGATCAGAGGTTATAAGCTTTTGAAAAAATCTCAACTCAATTCTAAGCTCCTTGTGAGTCCGATAGTAAATTAATTCAAAATAAATGTAAAATGGAAGCGAGCTTTCTGTTAGTTTTTATCAACAAGTTTAAATCAACAAGTATCCTATTTACATTACTTCAGACGGGGATCAGACATTGCGGTAAAAATCGGTAAAAATTCTTAAGCATTGCGTCAAATGACATAAGGTAAATGTCATTACATGTATAGGTTACAATAAGGCATTGACATATAGCGCAAATACTTTTCTTTCGAATAACTGAATATGAACATTTAACATAATCAAAGCCATTTCATTTATCTTTTATCTGAAAAAGGATGCATAACCAAAGAAACGGTTTTGAAAGTAAATTGTCCTTTGTTGGATACGGAAGTATTTCGTGTAGGGTTGTTCATCTTAAAAATTGTAACACTTTCAGACGTGCTTTTAAACGAACCTTATATTCAGTTCTTTTCTGTAAATTCTTCAGGAAGTCAAACTGAAAACAAGAATTTGTAACAGAATTACCAATGTCCCCCGCCTCGGGGAGTTTTATATGAAGCATAAAATTGTGCTATTTCAAAAGATTGAGGTATGGCTCTCAGGACATTCAGTCCAAAATTATGATCAATGCTAGATCTGCAAATGCAAAAATAAATTTGTTAAAAAAATAAAATGAAACACGGAATTTAAAAATCTATCATGTTAAGCTCCGACCTCTACGTATGACCTAGACCTTGGAGGTAGGGGAGCAGGTGTTGTGCATGACATGACGTCTGATTATTGGAATATTTGTGCCAAGTATTTTCAAATCCCTTGAACTATGAAGAAGTTATAGATTGGACACAAAATATACCCTATAACAGACTATGTAAATCTTTGACCTCTAAGTGTGACCTTGACCTTGGAGGTAGGGAAAAAGATGTTACGCATGACATATCATCTAATCATTGTGACTATTTGTGCCAAGTATTTTCAAAATCCCTTAATCAATGAAGAAGTAATGGACGGGACACAAAATATACCAAATAAAAGACTCTGTTAACCTTTGACTCTGTCAAGTTATTTCGAAAGCCCTTGAACTATGAAGAACTTCTAGATCCGACACAAAATATACCCTTTAACAGACTATGTTAATTTTTGACCTCTAAGTGTGACCTTGACCTTGGAGATAGGAATGCAGGTGTTGCGTATGACACATTCTCTTATTATAGTGACTATTTTTGCGAAGTATTTTCAAAATCCTTTGATCTATGAAAAAGTTATGGACTAAACACAAACTATACCCTGTAACAGACTATTTAAGTATTTGGCCTCCAAGTGTGACCTTGACCTTGGAGGTAGGTGACCAGATTTTGCGCATGACACATTGTCTGATTATTGTGAACAATTATGGCAAGTATTTACAAAATTCCTTCATAGATAAGAAAGTTATGGACCGGACACGACATATACACTCAAATAGACAATGTTGACCTTGAATGAGCAAGTGCGACCTTGACCCTTGAGTTAGGGGTCTGGCTGTTTTGCGCATGACACATTGTCTTATTATAACAAACATTTGTGCCAAGTTATTTCAAATTCCTTAGATAAATGACAAAGTTATGGACCGGACACAAAATATACCCTGTAACAGACTATGTTAATATTTGACCTCCAAGTGTGACCGTGACAGGGAATAAGGTAACGCACGAACGGGATAATTACTTTAATAAAACATAAAGAAAACAAGAGAAACCGACAACGTCGATTTATTGATCAATTAATAGGACCACAAAGTATTTTTTATTATTACGATCAATTCTCATAAACCTTTACGACAGAATTTAATGAAACTGAAAAACTCAATTTAGACTGTCATCTGT